GTAAAGCGCTATATAAATACAGGCCATTTACCATTCTGCTAAAGACTATGTTTCAGTTTAGTTCTGTTATGTTTTTAGTTAAATGGCTGTTACCAAATAGAATTTCCTACAGCCAGCAGTGATGACACGTGCTGGATGTGTGCAAGGTCTAGTTTGTACCAAAGCTGGACTTGTCACATTCGCCTGTATATTGTGCTGACTGTTACCATTTTACACAGATTAAAAACGACTTAAAAGACTCTACAAAGAAGTTTTACATGTTCATACTCCATTAACCTTTGATATCAGTATCATCATTTATATTTTTGTGTGAGTTAGATATTACTATTAATGTCACAAATAAAATAAGCATCTATATGAACATTTGGTGTTAACATAATATGAATGCTATATATATAACCTCATGGTTGCTGCCTTTTCACGACGCTACAGTTCATTGGCCTGTACCTTCATGTAGGCATGTACAAATAATTGGTTCAAACTGGTGATAATATTGCTGACAGCACTAATTCCTAACAATAGTCATCTCAAGCCACTTTGTATTGCAAGATAAAGATGCTACAATATTAGAGAGAAAACTCCATCAATCATTGCCAATGGTAGAAAGAAGGATTAACCTTTGAAGAGGAAAAGTCCTCCAGCAGAATCAGGTCCGTCGTCTGACACAACTGACCCTGATTGTGGGGGACGAGAAGATAAGAAGTGTATATTGTGTGGTTATGTGTGATAGACAAAACCCAAAAGACGACACTGGTGATAACTCACTGAAGCCATTGGTGCACATGCATCAACCTGCGTGCAGCCTGTTGCAGTCATTCCTAGTATTTGTTTAATAGTCTTGGATTTTTTTATCCTACTCTTACCCATTAACTTTTGCCAACAAACTGGCCAAGCGTCTTTTTCTTCGGGACAATGGGCCATGGAGCAACAACTTCATGCCAGTCACACTGTTTGCGTTAGAGATCAGCTGATGGCCCTGAAGCTGACTGGTCTGCTGGTTTGAACACAGTGATTGCAGCGGATACCTGGATCGAAACACACCAAGCATGCAGAGATGGACAGAAGAAGAGGAAAAAGACAGGGTGCAGTGAAACAGCAGAGAGTTTTGGAGAAGCAGAGTTGTAAATTTCCCCTCTATCTAATGTCGCTGGCAAATACAATCCGGTTGTTAAGTGATGACGTGACGAATCCTACTTCCGGGCCTAAAGTAGTCTG